AATATGTTAACGATGCAGTTAGCAGAATGGAAGGCAGATAAGGAATATGTTAAACGATCAGTTTAGCAAAAGAAAGCAAGATAAGGAATAGTGTTAACGAGAGTTAGCAAAGAAGGCAAAAGAAAAATATGTTAACGAAAACATATACCAAAGTTTAGTTGCGAACAAAAAAATATTGTGAAACTATTGTTGGCGACTTTTCTGTCAACTGAAGAAAACAACTATTAGATGGGAGTTTGTACAGTCCTTAAGAAAATGGTATACGGTTAAACTCATTCCGAAAAATAACAATGATAATTCATGTAGGCTATATTAAAGAATAATGGCACACAAGTTAAAGTTCCATTAGACAACAACTGCTACTTTAAACTTATAATGGAGACGAACAAGAAGAAATATTTAAGAGTTATGAAATGGAACGGATATGCACACTTTGTCTAACGTTAGCTCCAGCACCGTATTATTAATGACTTATTGGTGTTGAAAACAGGTAGACCCAAAAAAAAAGCAAAACATTATATTTAGATTATATAGATAACAAAGATAAACATGCAATAGAAAAAACGAGAATAGTATACTAGTTATAAGATGACAAAAATAATATCTAAGCAAGATTTTTACATACCCTGAAAAAACATAAGATTAATATTATAAAAAAATATTCTGACACAAACCAGAAAAGACAACCCGAAATAGTTACACTATATTTTAAGTTCAAAAGAGACAATCCTATAATATCTCAATATGTTTGATTTAACATGACCCAGTAGCGTTCTATTTATACATCTATGGATGTGAGAGGTCCTCAAGCAATGTTTGGTGTTGGCTGCATTGGGAACAAATAGTGCGTACAGGTTCTTGTATTGTGCAAACTCTTTCAAAGGAAACAGGAGAAGTAAAACAATTACGGTGTGAAAATTTACCTGCACACAGTCCCACTACATATATTTAAGCACATCTCAAGCAGGTTGGCATAAGCACAGAATGGAATTTGGTCAGGAATGACAAAAGGCTAAAGGATATTGATGCTTAAGCATATGTTAAATTTGCCAATAAATTTGTTACCTGAGTGAGCATCACTACGATCACCGAGATGCGCGACTGCTCCACGCGACCGACGAGCTGCGTGACATACACACTCATCGTGACGGCGTCATTTCAGGCACGCATCTGTATACCCCTGCTATACGTGTCTCTATCAACTAGCAGACTT